GGGTGTTCCCCCGCCCCTCCCCCCTCCCTCCCCCCCCCCCCGCCCCCACCCTTTTCCCCACCGTTTTTCCTCGAGAACGTTCTGCGAGCATGAGTTTAATATGTCTACATAGAGTGATACATCATCCACAAACCGTAAACAAACGCCCCGTGACTGTGTGCATGGAATCTCCGTAACGCATCGCTCCTTCAACCCAAGTTTGTGGTGCCGGCTTTACACCGCTTTCTCCTCCTGCAGCGTGATGTTGCCCATCTGCGTTATTCCAGCTCCCCCCTCAACAGATTACTCATGCATATTTATTTAGACTGCAGATTTGCAGCGGCCACGCACGCATCTGTCATTAACCTGCTGGGTTCGGGTATTCCATTATGTTCCCTCACCTTGGCCCTTGCTACGTTCGCGTTTAATTGGCAAATTCCCTCGGGAATGGAAAAAGCGCTCCGGTGGGAGAGCGGGTGGGGGTCTCTCCCTCTCCCTTCTCCCCGCCCTCTGCTCTGTATTTCTGCCCCACGCATCGCCATCACCCCAAAGCACCCAAACCCAGTTTTAACGCCAGATGTAAGTTGAGGGGTCTGGCAGGCGCTGGGAGCAAAGCGCTCCCAGTGAAACCGAGAGTTTCACGCTCCCCCCGTGTTAGGGAGGGATCGCTGCAGCTTCTGGCCCCGAGCGGAAGCGATCGATAATGAGCGGGGCTCAATGGAGCGCTGGGAGGCAGCAGCCTTACCTGGGGCGCGGAGGAGTAGGGGTAGCCGAACTGCGGGTAGGACATGGTCCAGAGGCTCCCGGTGATCTAGAAACAAGGCGAGACGTCTGATCTGCACGCTAGGGCAGCCGTGCTCTGCTCTATTGTACTGATTGATTGGGAACCGCAGCTCCCTAGATGCTTAGAGGACGAAGCAGAAAACCACAGTTTATTTATTTACATGAAAATGTAAACTTTTTCTTTTCTTTTTACCGAAGTGAGGAAAAAAAGAAAAAGAAGGAAAGAAAATAGGATGTGTCAAAAGTGTAGTATGCTCCCCTCCGCATCTACGTGGGGGCTCTGAGGCTGGCAAACGGCAGGGATACACATTTTGCATGCAGGGGAAAAGAAAAGGGGGCAATGGGGGGAGAGCAGAGCAAACACACCGCGTCAGCAGCGCGCTGCTGGGAAGGAGCCGAGCCTCTGACGTCATGTAAACCCCATTCACATCAACCGGCCCCGAAATCTTCGGACAGAACCACCCGCACCTCTTAGCCCAGAGGGGGCCGAAGTTAGGGCAGCTCGGTTGTCGGTGGAGGGGGTGGGGGCAATGGGTTTAATCAGAAGGATAAATGTTGTATCAGTAAGGTTGGCCCCCACCCTCCTTCGTCACCGAAGGGCTGGGATGCACTTTTAATTAGAAATTAATTAATGAGCAGCTGCTTCTTCCCACCCCACAGTAATAATTAGTCTCAATTACAAACAAGACATATGAAGGGACACACGACTGAGTCTTCATTTAAGATTTAATCAACAGTTAAAATTAGCGCTAACGCTGCCAATAAAGCCCGTGACATACGGCCCTGCGTTCTTTTTGCAGCCTCTCTTCCCGACGTGTGATTACAGGTAGAAAACCCCGCCAGCGCGTTCCGGGCAGCGACTGAAGGGAGGGAATTCTTGCGTTTAAACCCCTCGGAAGCCGTCGGAAAAGCATTCGGCGAAGGGGGGGGGGGGAGGGTGCATAGCAGGGGTGCAGGGAGCGGGGTGCAGCCCCAGGGGCCAAGCGCCGTTCCCCACGGCAGAGCAAACACCTCTCACCCGAGCGATGGGAACAGCCGAGGCCTGGAGCCCCCCGCTCTGCCCGCCGTGCCCCGCAGCCCCCGGGGCTGGCTCCGTGCTGCCGCCCCGCGGAGCGGCCCCGACGGCGGCTCCCAGCTGTGGCTGCTGGGCTGGGCCGGGCCGGGCCGGGCCGGGCCGGGCCGAGCGGCGGCTGCCGGAGCGCTGAGCGCTGCAGCGCGGTGTGCAGACTTGCTCAGAGAGATTCCCGGGTTCAGACATGTGAATAGCCCCAGGGTCACACTCTAATTAATGATGATGTTCTCTTCTTCTCCCCAGCTGGAAGACTGCCTCCCAGAAACGAATCTGCCCACACTGACAGCTCGATTGAGGGTGATTGATGACTATCTGGAGACCACAGTACATATAATATAATATCTGCTGCGTAATTGCTTTAATTTACAGATGAAAATAGTACTTTTCGCACGGAGTTAGACTACAGCGCGCGGCTCTTTATGGCGCTTTGGAATGTTTGCAAATAAAGGCTATCAGATGCAGCACATGCAAATTGCGCTGACAGCTCGGGAGAGACGAGTGGAGAGCGGCAACCAAACGACATTCATAACCGGGTCTGAATTCCGTATTGATTTTGGGGAGCGGGGAGAAAACGCCAATGCTTTCCTCACCTGAGCTGCCAATTTCTCTTTCTCCCTGGGAACAGCAATAACTTAGCCATTGGGGTTCTGTGACAGAATCGCTCCTTTATTCCTCCCTCGGCCCCAGGACCTAATGGCACTTCCAGTTACTATTTACAAGCAGCCCAGGTCCACGCGGCGCGCGTCGCTCTGGCCGAACTCAGCGCTCTGCCCGCAGCGCTCAGCACCGCTCGGTGCCCCCCGGGCGGATGGCGCCTGGGCTCTTCGCTCCAACCCCTCAGTCGGACCCCGCGGTACTGGGGACGAGAACAGTTGCACTTATCTTAAGAGTGGCTCAGGGTGAAGCACTATAATTAGCCGAGAGCCGGGGAACCGCCTGCAGAAGTGCTCGCAGTCCTCCAGGCTGGAAGTTTGGGAGACGTCCTGTTGTTGGTAGCTTTATGTTCTTTTTTTCCTCCCCTTTTTTGATACTACCGCAGATGTTAACTGCTCGGCGGCCCGCACGGCACTACAGGTTTGATATGTAGATGAGTCTATTAAACTTTAAAACGCGAGGTGAAATTCAATATTTATGGCCCTCGTCTATTTATATATCGCGGTTATCCCTCAATGCCCCGCGCCACGCGAACACTCAGCGCCCATTTTGCACCCAACTTTCCCGTATTAATCACCGTGATTATTCGTCATTTGTCACCGCAGCCGTGCTGCACGGCCACTTCCAGGCTGTATTCCCTAGAAAGCACTCATTAAAAAAGCAAAACCCCAAACCAGAGCTTCACTGACAGAACCCCTTCGTATTTAAACACTGAAAGAGGACATTACACCTTCCTACGGCTCATCTCTTGCTTCACTCTCAGCCTACAAATAATGGCCTTTTGTTGACGGGAAAGGCAGTTGTGTTTCATCCGCAATTTTTGGTGCCAGAGTCCCTCAATGATTTAAAATAACCCCTGTGGTCGGTGCGCATAAACAACGCAACGCTGTTCCGCCCCAAGGAAAGGCACCGATTGCGGTGAGCTCTTTCCGTAAGCATTTGGGAAACGCACGTCTGTGCCGTGCAATGCAAATGGTTCCCTGTCAGAGCTCCTTTGCCGTGCACGAGAGTTCAGGGCACGGCGCAAAGTTTGGGAGAGCGAACACATCGCAATCAGCGCTCAGGCTGGAGGCTTTCCCTCCTGCAAGAAGCAGAACGGAGATTTGGGAAGCAGAACCAAACTGAACGCGTCTTCCGGGCTCCGTGCCTCCTCCCCGGGAACCCGGAGACAACGTTCATGTTAGCTGCATCGTACAAACACGGAACAGGGTGGAAGCGCTGCGGCAGTGGAGCAGGCCGGGGCAGCGCGGTGATGGACGTCCGCAGGGACGCACGCTGAGGCAGCTCTGCGGCCACCGCTCTGCTATCTGCGCTCCCATCGCCTCCCCGTTCCGACGGCTTCTGCCACTCCCGCAAACATCTCCCCGACGGAATTCGCTTATGGGCTAAAGAAAGAGACTTCGGCAATGCTCTTTCAGCCGAGTTTGCTTTGTTTTCCCGTTCGGGATTTTACGCCGCGGAGCTCCACGCATCTCTGACCCGGAGCCCCCGGCAAGGCGGCACCGCGGGGAGCGCGGGGTGCGCGCAGAGCCTCCCGGGGCGCCAGAATGACCCCGGCGCTGCGGGCCGGAATCGGAGCTGCCGGTGCCCACCTGCACGGCCCCGTACGAGGGGTCGGGAGCCGCGGTGACAAACAGCAGTTGCCTAAGCGTGTGCCGGTAATTCATTTACAATTACAACTACGCGTAAAATAGCGCTCGGAATGCTTTCATTCGGTAGCTTCAATCTCTTGGTGAACTATCTCAATTAAGGCCTCACGGGCTCACTCTGCTCTTCGCATCCAGCAACTTTCTGCTCGGAAGGGCTGCGGCCAGCCCGCACTCACGGCTCACCCCAAACTTTTCGGGAAGAAAAGCAAAAGCCGCTCCCCAGACGCTGCTGTCTTCCTCCGCACAGAGCTCTGCGGGCCGAGCAGAGGCTGTCCGAGGAGGCTCCGCTCGGACCCCGCTCACAGTCACTCTGTGCTGTAGGCAGTGCGCAGCCCCGCGCAGTCCTGAGCGGAGGGAAAACTTTCCTGCTCGCATAGGTCACATCCTATTCCTTTTAAAGTTTGTCTTAAAAGCCGGAAAGTTTGACTCGGTGCCTTACCTTAGCGCTCGCGGAGTGTCATATGCGCACCCCCTTCCCAAGAAATAACACATATGTTAGATTACATTTGCCCCTTTTCCCAGGCGAAGATCGCACAGAGCCAAGTGATCCATCACACGGAGTTCCCCTTCCCTCCAGCACTTCGTTCCCAGCCTCCTCGCTGCTGCTGCAGCTCCGGAGGGGGAAAATAACCCCGCCGCCCCCCTCCTCCCTGCCGCCGCACACACACGTACACACAACACACGCACGGCAGCATCACCACCAAAACAAGGAGAAAACGTTTTTACCTGCGATCACGCCCGGCTCCGGCTAGCACCTTGCAGTGCCATGGCAGCGTTCCTCTCCTCCCGCTCTCTGCGCGGATCGCTGCGCGGAGCCGCCGCGAGCATTTCTCAGCGTGCGGCACCTGACGGCAGCGCACAGTGCCTCCGCTCCCCCGGCGCCGCCGCCACGTCCCTCACCCCTTTCCTAGTGACGTCCCAGCGCGGCTCCGCTGCTCCGCTGCCGATTAACACTTTCCAGGCGCTCGGCTCCTAACTTTTCCTTTTAAAACAGCGGCAGCCGGAGCCTCTCGCCTCCTCGCGTTATAAACGCCGGCTGGGGCGTGGGGGACACCATAATTAATAGCGGGTTGGTAAAATTAGCACTGCCACTCCAATCGTTGTCCTCGTCGCCGACAATAATTGCATCGATTCGGGAAGGACACGAATGTCCTCCATTTAACCTAATGATCCGCGGGGTGTACCCGCCGGAAGGCAGCAGGAGCGCTGATTAAGTGCGCGCCCCCCGCGCTGCCATTTATCTCCGCGAGTCAGGGCTGCGAGGCGCGCAACTCACGGGCAACTCTGCCTCGCCCGCCGCCTTTGTTTCCCTCCCGTCGGCGGAGGTGGGCTCGGACGCAGGCGCCAGCCGGGCTGTGCCCGCACCTGCCCACCCCCTGCCCGCGCTTCCACTCGGAGCACTCGCGCCGGGCTCCGCCGGGGCTGCGTTCCCTCCTCCCGCAGCGCCCCGCAGAGCCCCGCAGCCCCGGGGCCGTCCCCTCCCGCCCCGGGGCTGCCTCCGGGGGGGGGGGGGGGGGGGGGGGGGGGGGGCCGGGGGCTCCAGGGCCGGAGCTCTCTCTCCCGCTTCCCGCTCAGCCCCCCCGCACACCCCCCCGGTCCGTGCTTCCGACCCCGCAGTAGTTCTGCGTGCCCCTAGGCTCCTGTCCCGGCTGCAGAAAGTTTTGGCGTAGCGGCCGCTACTTTCTCGCCTTAATTGTTTGTGCCGAGCGAAAAGAATCGTACAGAATCGTAGGGATCGTAGGGACAAACTGGGATTGGCAGAAGGGGGAGGAGGGATCGATATCATTTGTGTTTAAAGGCATAAGGCTGGTGGACGTCTCAAAAAACACAGAGGAGGAGAGAAGAATATTCCATCGCACCCAATTAAGCGAAGACAAAGAGGTGTGGGGAGAAAAGCTGCGAGAGGTGGGGTGGTGGTGGGGGGGTTCTAGCCACTGTCTTCTCACCGTAATCACCAAAGCTGAACAATAACATTAATGGGGAACATCTGTACATTGACAGATTTATTCTTGCCAGGGCTCTTTCATGCCCGTGTCGTTTGCATGAGCCCGTGCTCATAATGTTCAACACACATTGTACCTTGTAGTGCGATGACAAGGTACGTCTGATGAACTCTCAGAGTGGGAAGTCCACTTTTCTTTCTCCTTTCTCCCTCCTCGGGTTGTGTTTGCAACTTCCAAGACAGGGAAACCACACGGAAAGGGAGAACGTGCCCCTTCTCCCCATCTGCACACACAGACAGAAAGCCAGTCACACTGCAAGCCTTCGTGTGACCATCCTGGTGGTTCTTGGCCTTGTGTGGGTCTGGGAGATGCCATGGGGCTAGGGCTGCCCTGTGGACACTGCCTTCCCTGGAACATCCCTTCTGTGTCCAAGGGCAGAAGGCATCATTCCAAAAAAATATTTTCTCCTATTAACACCTACCAGCTGTAAGAGTGAATAAATATATCTTACGCAATATAACAACCTCAGTTGCATGAGATCGACATTATGGCAGCGTTGGTTGGAGGAAGAAATGAGCAGACACTGTCTTTTTCAATTTGCTCATGGTGACCTGCGCACCTCAGAGTTGCCACCCATTGACCCACTCATCAGGGTGGCTTTCTGCCTGTCAGAGCAGGAGGATGGCTGAGCAGAGCAGAGAACAAGTCCCAGTGGATGAATATGCAACTCACCAATGGCGACCCAAAGGACACGTCTGCTGAGGGAGCACAGGCCACCAGGAAATCCCAGCAGGTGCCTGCAACCTGAGCAAAAGCTGCTGGGGAGCACTCAGAAATTCAAAGTCCAGGGTTCATGACTTGAGGGCCATTTGTAGGTTTTGCCTGATGTTGCTCGTGGTATTGTTACAGATTCTTCTTCTCCCTCCCTTTTTTAATGACTCATAAATGCAAAGGTTTCAACCATTTGTAATATTTAAAATACTAAAAAGTGCTTTTTTTTTCCTTTTCTCCCCACAGTAGAAATAGTGTTGATCTTGTCTACCCTGACATCCTTTTGGCATTCTTTCCTGTTTCTGTAGCTAGACCCAGGCCACCTCGATTCTGAAAAGGCCTTCACTAAATGATAGTACGTGGTTAAAAACCTTAATTTTCCATGTCATTAGACAAACAGCACTGGTGATAGCACCATGTACTTCCATTCAGAAAGGGAATATCATTTAATTGCCAGTGTCGATTTCTGCAGTACAGTGGCTGTTCTTTGAAGACCTACTTTCTAAGAGATCAGATAGGAAAGAACACCAGCTTGATCTCTTTCTTTCTTTTTTTTTTTGTCTTTATTTTACTGTTGAGATTATTAAATCACAGCCAGTGAAGGGATGTTATACTATTCCTTGTCTTACAGCTCACACACTCTATGAAAGTCTTAGAAACCCATTATCTTCATTGTGAAAACTCCAAGATAATCTGTATAACTGAAATAATTTCATACACATACCAAAAAAAAAAAAAAAAAAAAAAAAAAAGAAGATGAATAGAATTCAGAATGCAATAAATACATGGACAGGACAGAAATCAGATTTTCACTGAAACTGTGTTTGTCCTCATCTGGTTTTGGTGCAGTCTTATGCTAACCTCATAGCAGCAAGGTTTATCTGAATATGCAGGGATCCGTGCAGGTACATTTCTTTTCCCTTTCTTGTGTTAAATTGATTATGTGATGTTCAAAAGACTGATATACATTAGAAAACCTTTAGGCATTTCAGCTTAAAGGAGATGGTTTATTAAAAGGAGAGGTTATTGTTGTGAACAATGACTTCAGTGCGTATGCTGGCATGTGAAATGTTTACCTTTATTGGACAGGACTACACTTTTATACATAAATATATGGTCAAGACAATAAAAGGCATCTTTTACCAGACTCGATCTGGTCATCTGTGGGTCTTTGAATGTATAATTACATTTTCAACCATTTTCTAAGCAAGCATTTCCATAGTTCTGCTGGCAAACCTGTTGTGTTGAGAAGGCATTTAATCTGTGCCGTGAAAGAAGTGTTGGTGTGGTTAGAGAGCACCAAAACCGCCTCAGTGTACTCTAATATGAACGTGGAGAGGATTATCTTTTGGCAGGAGAGATGCATCAGCATCATTTCCATTGCTGAATATCTTTGCAGACATTGAAGACCTTAAGAAGTCGGAAGGCGCCGAGGGAGCTCCGTATGACTAAAATTCTCCTTCCAACCTTGGGTGGGCAGTGCTGAGCCCCGGGGGAAGTAGGGCAGGAGTGGGCTCCTTCCTCCATGCTAAAGAGAACCAAAGAGAAGTGGGCTTTGGGTCTGGTCCCAGAGAGTTCCTTGTGTTTGGGAAGTGCCACACGACATTACTCGTGGGCGATCACTCTGCACAGAAGAGATTGCAGACAAGAACCGCGCGCACCTCGGGAAACAATAATGCAATTAAAGCGGCGTTTGTAGCACGCACTTAGGGTTATCTTTCCATGTGGGATGAGCCATCATTTTTTTTCCCCACTAATTATTTTCATTAGCTGTTTTAACTCTTCCTGAGAGCTCTTAATAACTGCTTCAGAGCACAATGTGTAAAACTGAAAATTATTTATGGCACCGATTAGAACTACAGAATACTAATACGGGCACTCAGGAATAATTTACCATAGCGGGAAAAGCATTATTTAATTGTTTAATGTAGAGGTTTAATTGTGCTTGCATATAATTATCATGTAAATATCACTGTGATCACTTTGAGAGGTTATTTCTAAGTGTGCCAAAATTCTGAAGCAATCTGAAAAGAATTAATTTTTCTCTTGCCTTCCTTCACAAGTCTCTCAAGTGCGTTATATATTTTAACTTAAACCAAAATATAGCCGAAGGCAGACAGGAGTTCCAACAGTGACCAGTGTAATACTCACTGCTTTTAATTACTGTAACAATAAATCACACAGGAATGTCCTCCAGGAACTAAATGATTTTCTAAAAACATTTGAAAATATTTTTGAAATTCAATTAATTGAAGGCACCAGATAAAAGGTACACATTCTTAATGGCTATAAAATAACCCTAAGGGATGTAACTCAGCTCCAAGCTTAACTTCAAAGTGTGACAGAAATACTTACTGTATTACTTTAAAAGTATTCAGATCAATGAATCAGTTAAAATTACTTATACGTTTACCAACCTTTTCATTTTCTTTCTGAATATGATAGTGAGAATTGCTCTCATTTCCCAGGATACAAAAAGCTGTTGAGACCTGTAAAAGAAATTGTAATTAAAGCCAGCCTTCAGTCAAAATTGGTATTATGAATTTTTGGTTGACACAAGATAAAGGGGCCAGCAAAACATAAAAGTGGCTCAATAAAACATACGTTTAGACATTTTACACTGAAATTTAACTGGGTTGCGCAAGCATTTTGGGTTCTGGGATTAAATCTGTCCTTGTTAAATCCAGTAAGCATTTGCTATTGAATTTAATGGAACCGGCATTTCACCCTGGGATGTGTACCAGACCAACTGTGAGATTCTCAGCCAAATCTGTTGTTGCTGCTGCTTTTTTTCTCGTATCTTTGGTCTAACCATGCTAACTTTAATGTGTGCCTTTGCAAGGTTCTGAACAGCTCAGACACCCACATCATGCCTTCAGCATTTCTGGGCAGTGCTCTGAGGTAGTACTCAGGAAAATGCTTAGTGAGATCCCATGCTGCCTTGGCATTTGACCTGCAGCTTATGAGAAGCAAAGGTTGCTTTAAAAGAAGTGTTTAAATCATCACAGTTTTCTGGTTTGCTAGGTGATTTTATAAAGCAGCATGATTCAACAGCAGGAACATGTGAAGAAATATGGAAAGGCTGAAATGTCACTAACAGCCAAGTTTTTCTAGCACAGCTGCACTGTTCTGAGAAGCTCTTCTGTCTGTAGTCTCAGCCCACGGCCATGCTCCTGGTTGCACCTGGACCATGAAAGCAGACTGTAGGACATAGTCATCACACCACGGAGATAAGGGTTAATTTCTAAACTTTGCATAAAGGCTGGCTGTCATAAACATTCAGTGATGGGAAAACAGTTAAACTGTGTATATACTATTCTTCAGTGCAGGAAGCTTAGAAACAGTTGAAATGGAATTATGCACACACGTGCATTTGTGCACATCCCTATCTGTGCACACTCACATGCAGGGAGAGGATACAGAGAAGTGTCTGTTCTGTATGAAGAAGTTGTATCCCAAGAGAAAACTAACAATTCTCTATCGAAAACTAATTTCGCTATTTTCCAACAGCTCCCTCATTTCATTACTCACTGATAATTTTCTCAATTTAATCAGCAGCAAGTTTCTCTCTGTTTAAAACGTGTTAAGC